GCGCTCCAGCCCCGCCAGCGAGCCTCCTCCTCCTCCTCCTCCTCCCGCGCCGTCCTTGGCCTGCTTGGCGCCCGGCGGCCCCGGCGACCGGCCCTCGGGCATGGCGTGGCTGCGCTTGAGCTGGCGCGCCGTCTCGATGAGCAGCTCGATGCGGTCGGCGCCCTCGAAGTTGACGCAGCCCCGGCAGACGGCCTCGCTGAAGTCCCAGATCATGGCCCAGGGCATCTTGGGCAGGTCGCACAAGTAGCACCATTGTCTGCGGGACGCCTGCACCGAAGACATCTTGGCCGACGCCCCCCGAGGCCCGAACGCCGCCGGAACGCCCGGGCCGGGAGAGAGGAGGCGGCGGCGGCGGCGGGGAGGGGGGGAAGCTGGCCCGCGCGCCCGGGAAGCGGCTCCGAGCGGGGCGGGGAGGAGGCAGGCGGGCGGGCAGGCCGGAGCGGGCGGGCAGGCAGACGAGGCGAAGAGGGAGGAAAAAAAAGGGGGGGAATCCCCTCTCTTCGCCTGCCCTCCTACATGGAGAAACTTACATAAGTCCCTCGCGAAGCCTGTCGGGAGATGTAGTCCTGGAACTGGAGGGAGGCGGGCTGGGCTCGCGAGGCGGGGGCGGCGGCTCTTAAAGGCGACCTGGCCCCGCCACGACGCTGCCCTGCGGTCTGATGGGAGCGGAAGGGGGGCTGTGCCTGACTGTTGAGGCTTTGCAAAATAAAAATAAAAATAGGAGGATATTTTTGGAGCCCCCCCCCCGCACTCAGCCACATGAGTCCCAGAGATGGAAGACTACAATTCCCGTCATTCCTCCCGTGCGGCACTTGGGAAAAGAGGGAAAGAGGCGTTTGGCTGGCCGGTTGCACTCAAACGGGGGTCTCCAGACCTGACCACTGTTAAGGCTTGTGGACTTTCAACTCCCAGAGTTCCCCAGCAGACATGCAGCTACCTGGCTGGCTGACTGGGGGATTCTGGGAGTTGAAGGCCACAAGTCTGGGAGGGGACGTACCCAAGTCTTAAAAGTTGCCAATTGTAGGGACCCCTGCACTAAAACCCCTTAAGAGGGTCTTGGGAGTGGGTTGCCCAATTGAAATGCTGCCTGGGTGCTGGGAGTTTGGTACAGTGGCTGCACTAGCCGGGGATGATGGGTGCAGCAGTCACTCCCCAGGGAGAATCGAGTGGACAACCAGCAGCGCCTCATAGCATCACCTCACCCCTGTCCATCCTCCACAGAGGTGTTCTTTTGGTCCCAAAGCCATATTGATTGAAGCAAGTAAATCTTGTGGTGCGATGGGCAGCAAATGAATTTAATAAATAACAAACAAAGTCGGGGTGTCAATATTATAACAGCTTCTTTTCCCCAGGAACTAAAGATCCCCCACTTTCTCCCTTGCCTGCCTTCGCCCTGACATTCCAGATGTCCAAATACTGTCCCTCAGCCGTTGCCGAAGGACGGATTCAGATAACCACTTTCCCTGTAAGTCACAGATTTAATTTCCAACTTCTATCATGGGTGGTCCTGTCTCCACCGGCACCGCTGCCTGTTTTTTGGGGGGTGCAGGTGAAGGTTCCGAGGCCCGGGATGTCTCTGCCCCTCCAAATGTTGTGCCTGCTCTTCCTCCGTAGGAGATCCAAGTTCCAAGAAAGAGTTAACTGGGTTTTTCAGTGTTAAGGAAAAGGGGAAAATACATTACCCACTTTGCAAAGCGGCTTGAAAGTCCGGATGTTGGGCTGTGGTGCATTTCCGGCTGTTCGACTTCCTCTTTTCTTTTTTTTTGCCTTTTGCAAATCACCCTCCCCTTCCCTGCAGTTCAAAGTTCAACTTTAGGGGTGCTGCTAAGGGGGTTCTCAACAGGCAGGG